TATGTGGGGGAGGCGGGTCAGATCCCAGCCCCATGCGGCTTTAGGGGGCTAAACCCCAGCCTTAAGGGTTTGTGGGGTCTGGATATGTCCCACCCTCCCACCCCAGGGTTTTTTTGGGGGGGACATCAAGCTCCAGCTCACAACATCCCGAAAAGGGATTATTCCAAATCTCAGCCGTCGTTTAGGATCTTGATAGCTGGACCCAAATCCTGTCACCCCCAGGGTGCTGAGGGGAGCATCTGCAGCGCCTCCCTGTGCTTCCCCATCCCACCCCGGGGGTCTTGGGGGGACATCAACCCCCAGCCCCACAATCCGAAGGGGGGGATTAGCCCAAATGCCAGTCATCCCTTAGGATCTTGGTAGCTGGCCCCAAATCGCGACACCCCCAGGGTGCTGGGGGGACCATCCCCGGTACCCCCTGACAGTGCTTGGGTGCTGAGGGGCAGCCCAAATCTCACCCCCCTGCAAAACTTGGCGTGGGTCAGACCGAAGGGTGTCCCCCCTGGGCTGGGAGGGGGGTATGCCCCCAAATTCCAGCCCTATAGCACCTTGAGGGGGATTACACCCCATCACTGGGCTGTGGGGCACCAGCACCCCGTGGACCCCCCCAGTGCGAGGGCTCAGCCTCAGGACGCACCCCCAGGCCCATTTTGCAGGGCCCTTCTCCCCCACCCCATGCAGGGCCACACCAGGGTGGCAGGGCCAGGGCCAGACAAGACCCTTCCCCACCCCACCTATCTCCTTGCCATTGCTTATTCTGAGAAATCAGCGAAAGGGGAAGAAAAAGGAAAAGAAAATAGTAATTTTTGGCAAATTCGTTGGTCTTCAGAGCCTCGGCGCTGACTGTGGGGTGGGCACGGGGGGGCTGCAGGCAAGGCCCTGCTCTCCAGTGGGGGTCCAAGGGGCCAAACCCCCCTCTCATCTCCCTGACGCAGGCGGCACAGCCGCCCCCCCAGCTCTATATTTAAAAAATCGAGTTGCCATGGTTACGCAGAGCAGCTCTCCCCGGCCCTCGGTGCCGCAGGGAAGGGTGCAGAAAGCCCCTCCTTGGCTTCCTTTTCGGGGGGGGGTAAATTCGGTGTAACCCCCCCCAAAATCGCCTCGGTGCCAAGCTTAACTCTCCCTCTGCCGTTCTCCAGCGTCCGGGCGAGACACAGGCGCCATCACACCGCAGAAAACACACATTAATTTTATTATTATAATAATTATTATTATTCTTATGGCCGCTGCAGAGGAGGAGGCACGAGAGCACAGGTTCATGTGCGGGGCCGAGGGGCTTGCAAACCCACAGCGAGTCTTCCTTGCAAGGGGAGCCGCCGCCTCGTCCGGGTCCACCCCCGAGGAGCGTCCCAACACCGGTTTGGGGGCGCAGGGATGGCGCCCGACCCCTGGATTGGGGGGGATCTCAGCACAGCGGGTGCCGGGGCCCGCGCAGGCTGCAGCCCCTCATGTCGCTGGCCAGCCGCAGCACGGCGGCCCTGCCGGGGTCCCCCAGAGCCGCGCCGGGGCCGAAGGCCTCGTCCTCGTCCTCCTCCAGGATGGAGCTGAGGCGCGGGGCGCAGCGGGCCCGCTCGGCGGGCGGGCGGTAGGGGCACTTGGCGTTGAGCAGCCGCCGCAGGGGCACCAAGGGCACGATGGCGTCGCCCAGGAGCTGCTGCTGCACGTGGCGGCAGTCGCTCTGCCTCTTGAGCCGCTTGAACTCGTTGAAGGCCGAGGCCGAGGTCTGGTAGAGCAGCAGGGCCATGGCGCGGGCCTTGTCGGCCTTGGAGACCAGCACGGCGTGGCAGCGCAGCACCACGGCCTTGTTCTTCACCTGGTGCCGGTACACCCAGGCGAACACCTTGGGGTGCCGGCGGTCGGCGGCGCAGTAGGTGATGCGGTGCAGCAGGTACGCGTGGCCCGGCCGCCGCGCCCCCTTCTCGCTGGGCGTCATGCGGATGCCCTGCGGCCCCAGCGTCAGCTTCATCTTGGCCCCGCCGGCGCCCGCCTCGCTCTTCGCCCAGATCTTGCCCACCGCCTCCTCGGTGCAGCCCTCGCCCTTGGCGTGCAGGGTCACGGCGTTGCCCAGGTATCGCACCGTGTACGTGGGGTCCTCCTTGTTGAGCTCCACTTTCTGGCGCTTCCCGCGGAAGACGCTGCCCAGCCGCTCCAAGGGGCACTCGGGCAGCAGGTCCGGGCAGGAGCGCAGGAACCCGGCCAGCAGCGCCGCGTAGCTCAGCCCCGGCCCCAGGCTCTTGCTTTTGCACTTACGTTCATTTTCCACCAGCACGAACTTGCTCCGGCGCCACGGCAGCATCTCCGCTCCGGCCTCTCACGGCTCGGCTAATCCCGGAGCAGAAACAGCCCTCTCTCCCTCCCCAACCCCGCCACCCCCAGCCCGCAAAATCTGGATGGGGGGGGTGTCCCCACACACGCCCCCCGCCCAGAGGGTGAAGCCCGTACCCCGGAAAGCAGCTGCCGTGCCCCCGATGGCGTGCGGTCCAGGGAGGATGCGGGGATGGATGCTCGGCCGAGGAGCCGCCGCGCTCCGGCTGCCGCCTGCGCCTGGTGCTGCTGCGGGAGCGGCGGCGGCTGCGGGGACGCGGCTCTCCGTGGGCTGCTCCACCTCCCCGAGCACGCGGGGAGCCGCCGGTGAACGTCCCCCACCGGCTCCTTGGATGCGCGCTCGCTCCCTGCTCCGGCAGGGATACAGGGGTGGGGGTAAAATAACACCCTGTCCCGGTGCAAGCAGCCAGACCCTCCCGAACGCCGAAATTCCCTGTTTTCTAATCCCGGGGAGGATGATTTTCGGGAGGGTCAGATGATGGTTTCTGACCCTGGCGTGATAAAATGGATTCCCCCCCTCCCCCCCAAATCTGTCGCCAGGATTTGAGGATTCTGCAGATTTGCTGGCGTTTTTTACCTCCACCCCCCCTTGCCCCCCCTGCTTTTTACCTGGTTTTCCCGAGCCAGCCAGACCTCCTTGCTGCTCCTCTTCCTTTTGGGCTGATCTGGCTTTTAACCTGTTGCTTTCACCTCTGGCCAAGGCCCCAGGACAACTTCTCTCCAGGGAATGTGAAATGTTATTTCCCGACGGTGCAGCCTGAGGGAGGTTTTTGGGGAGCACTGTGAGATTTCAGCCCAGCATCAGAGTCTGAAGCTGCTCAGGATTCAGCTGCTTTGGCTCAAACCCTGATTTCCACCTTTTTTTTTTTTTTTTTTTCCCCATCTGGGGCTTCTTGTAGATGCAGCAGGGACACCCCCCCAGGTTGGGGATGCTCCAGCTGCTTTGGGGTGGAAAAATAGGGAGGAGAAAGGAGGAGAAATCACACTGCGTACCCCCACTTTTAGCCCATTTGGGGAGGTAAACCAGAGCAGGGTGTTGCAGGGAGGAGGAAGCCATTTCCCAGCAGCTTCCCAGATTTTCTACGGTTTGAGTGAAGCAAACACAACCTTAAAATAGCTGCTTCACAGGCAGACAGCACCAGCCCTGCTCCTCTCACTGCCACGGCCTCGACAGCCTCGCAGGTTTTCACAGCCAAAATAATAAAAAATGCATGAATTTGTCTGTTTTTCAGCTTTTCTGCTGCAAACACGAGGTATGTGTGTTTGATCCTGGTGCAAGGATGGTTTTGAGGAGGTGGCAGTTAGGGAATTAGTGCAAATGAGCAAGGTGTCCATCCATGCCAGCCTCTGTCCCTCGTTACTTCTGCTGTCACCCTCCCTGGCAGAGGTAAGAACTCTTTCATTGCTCAGTGTTCATATTGACAGGGCAGGTTTAAAGCCTTCCCAAAAGCTCCTCTATTTGTACATCCCACATTATTTAGTGAGGGGTCCCCCTGCTCTGACCTGCTCCTACAGTGTCTCCCCTCAGCTGCTCTGGGACTGGTTTTCCTTTTTTCTCCCAGTTTTTGGGGGTAATGGGGATTGGAGTGGGGACACAGAAGAATCTCTGGCTCATTTTATAGGGGAAAACAACCTGGATTTGCACTTTGAAAGCTGAAAAAAAAAAGGATTCAGGGCTATCAATCCCTCCTCTCACTTCCTATTGCCTTGACTGACTGCCCTTGCAAGCACCCAGCTCTCATCACTGGGTTCCAGAGTGAACAAGCACCCACACAGTGCGAGGAAAGTGGGTTTCCTGGTTATTCTCTGGACAATACAGATCCCAGCTTTGGTTTCTTGGGGTGCCTGTGGTGTTCTCACTGCCCCATGCTCCCTTCTCAGCTCCCAGAGTTTCTATGCCAACAGAAACCGCTGCCAATTTGGATGCCTCTTCTCAGCAGTGACCCAGGACCAAGATTTGCTGGCATAACCTGCAGGTAAGGTCAAAATCCTCCCCAAATTCAGCAAACCAGACAAAAATCCCAGTGATACATCCCTGGGGGCTGTGACACCCGTCCTTGCAGATAGAAAGTGGGGCAGGGAAGCTCCTCGGGCCAGGGAGAAAATAGAGACATCTTTAATTAAAAAGCAATTTGCTGATCACCCAGGAGCCCTTTTACCCTGCCGGGGGTGATTCCCGTGGAAGCACCGGCAGGTCCAAATTTGGGCTCCAGCATGAGGGCATCCCAAAAGGGGCTTTTTCCACCTGTGTCTTCAGCCAGATTTCCCTGCTGCCTGTAGTTAAAAAAGCCCTGGGAAAATGTGATACATATAGATATAATTTTTAATGTTTTCAATGAAATTAATGTATTTCTTTTGATCTCAGTGATCTGGAGCCACAGAACCAGTTTCGAACTGGGAAGGAAAAAAAAAAACATGCGAAACAGCAGCGGAAAAATGCCGGGACAGAGGAAAGGAGGAAGTAGAGAACAAAACCCGGGATAAATTGGAAAAAATGAGACATCAGGCAGGGAGGGGATGTTGGACTCCCCGAGCGTGATGCTTTGGGGGCCAGGGCTGTCCCTAGGGATGCTTCCTGGGGATCGGCTGCGCGCCGGGGCGTTATCCCGGAGTCCCGGCCAGCCTATTTTTCCAGGCGAGGAAATATTTAACCGCGGCGTCAGCGGGCAGGGCAGGAGGGTGCAGGCATGGAGGGCGGCGGGCAGAGCCCAGCCCCGGCCGTGCCCCCGGGCCAGCCCCAGCGGGACCATCTGCAGCTCCTGCTGCGCCGCAGCCGGGAGGCCAAAAACTGCGCCTACTGCCCCTACAGCCGCTTCCCGGTGGGAGCCGCGCTGCTCACGGCTGGGGGGGAGATCTTCTCCGGTAAGTCGAGGCCCCGAGAGCCCGCTCTGGAATTTTGGGGAGCCCCCAGCGACCCTGTGGAAGTGCGCGGGGGTGTAGCGGGGGTCATCCCGGGGTGTTGGTGGTGTGTGTCCTTCCCCTCCGCTGCCTCTTGGCAGCCCCGCCAGCCCGGACGGAGCGAGCCAAAGATCTCGGCGGATGGGAAAGTACAGGAAATAAAATAAGGGAAGCAGGGGAAAACGGCTTTTCTTTGCAAATTCCCCTAAAAAAACCAACAAAACAAAAAAATCACCAACAGCCCCCCCCAAAAAAAAAAAAAAAAACAAACACAAACCACAACGAAAAAAAAATTCCCCTTTGGGGTTTGGGGTGGCTGGGGGGTTTTCCCCACAGGGTGCAACGTGGAGAATGCCTGCTACAGCCTGGGGATGTGTGCTGAGCGAGCTGCCATCCAAAAAGCCATCTCCGAGGGGCACACCAGCTTCAAGGCCATGGCCATTGCCAGGTAAGGGTGCTCCAAGAGCTGGAACAGGGAAGGATGGGATGGGGACACAGCAGGAAAACCTCCAGTGCACCCCACGGGCAGATTCTGCTGCAGCAGCCCCAGCGTTTAGGGGGGAAAGAAAGATTTTGCTTGTTTTTTTTTGTTGTTTTTTTTTTTTTTTGGAGGAATTAGGGGGGAATCTACTGTGGCTCCATATTTACTGGTGCATGAAGATCTTCTGCAGGTGTTTCCCCCTTCCTCTGACCTCAGGACTGAGCTCTGTGCCCTTCTCCTTTGGCAGTGACATGGGGGACTTCATCACACCCTGTGGCGCCTGCAGACAAGTGATGAGAGAGGTGATGGCTCCTGTGGGGGCTTTGTGTCTCACCCCCTGACCCCAGACATGATCCCTTGACCCCAGACATCATCCCCTGACCCCAGGCATCTCCCACTAAAACACCCAGAGGTGCCAAGTGGGGTGCAGCCCCCTGTCCCCAGCCCCAGGGCTGGCTCCAGGCTCCTCAAATTGCATTATCCACTGGGAAAGGGATCTTCCTCCCTGTTCCATGTGAGTGGGTGCTTGGTGGGAATCCATTAGCTCGCCCTCCCCGGGGGGGGTTTTGTTCCTCCAGGTGCAGAGTTTGGCTCTGGAGTCATCGCTCCACTCCTGGCAAGCCAGAAAACAGGGGTTTTCCTGGAAAAAGCTGAGCTTCTCACAGATCCCATCCCTCTCTCACCTCCCTCCTCCCCGCAGGCACCCCAGCACCCACAGCCCGTTTTTGGGTGGTTAATATTTAATGGGTTGTGGGGCTCGGCTCGAGGGAGGGATTCAGGAAGTTTGGAAGCACCGGGGCTCACCCTGGGGGATAAAAACCACAAGATCTGAGCCCAAAGTATCCTCTGGGGGGGGGGTGATGCCGATAAGCCAACCCAAAATCCATGCAATAGAGGGGGATGCTACCCCTGAAAGCAGAAAAAAAAAGATTATAGGAGTAATTTCAGGGAGAAGTGCAGGTTCTTCTCCCTTCTCCTTCTTCTCCCTCATCAGGTTCTTCTCCCTACTCTTCTCCTCCAGTTTGGCACGGACTGGGATGTCTACCTGACCAAAGCAGATGGCACCTACATTGTCAAGAGGCTGGAGGAGCTGCTGCCGCTCTCTTTTGGCCCTGAGGACCTGAAGAAGGTGTGAGCAGAGTGGTCACCACCAGCCTTTGCCCCTGGGGCAGCAGAGGAGGATGGTTTCCCCCAATTTCCTCGGCGAGTAAGAGGCTTTTGGGGGACGACACAATGGGAAATGCATTTGTAGTGTTGAGTTACCTGTTCCTCTCACCTCCTGATTCAGCACTGATTTTCAGACACTGGCTCCACCTCCCCCTGAGGAAACAACAAAATCAAATCATGGAAGTTCCCTGTTATTAGTAAAAAAAATGTCCAGATATCCCTATAGGCAAGGAAGGAGTCGAGTTTGATGCATGGCTCAAGTTCGGGCTTGTTGATACAGAAACAACTCCGAAATAATGCAAAATCATTGCTTGGGAAAATTCTGGATTCTCCAGCTCTGAAGAGATGTGAAAGCCAAAAGGAAAAGCTCCATCAGCCCCAGCAGTGATTAATGAGCCAGTCCAGATTAGGTGGATTGCTGGAATGGGATGGTTCTTGCACTGAGCGTGTCCTTTGCTCCTTTCTCTCCAGCTTGTTTTCCTTGCTTTTATTCCATTTATGGGGGGAGAAGAGAATGAGGAATTTTTGATTGCTTCTGCAGGGTTTTGTGCCTCCAGAGTGGTGCCATTTGCTGATTGATTTAATTACGCACAATGACAAATGAATGTGTGATATTTCCCAACCAACGCTGGGTTGGGCATTTCAGCCCATGCCCAAATCAAATAAAGGCCATTCTGGTTTATCTCCTGCAGTTGTAGCAAGTGATGAAACACAGGGAATGGGGTCCCTGGGCTGTCCTGCTGCCAGGCAGGACCATGGGGTGGTGGATGTGACATGGGAACATCATGAGGTTCAACCTTAGAGCCTCTTCATGTGCCTTAAAGGGGACTTACAATAAAGATTTAATAAAGATGAGGGCAGACTTTTTAGCAGGTCCTTTTGAGGGATAGTGGTTTTAAACTAAAAGAAGGTTGATTTAGATGTAAGGAAGAAGCTTTTTACAATGAGAGTGGGGAGGCCCTGGCACAGGTTGTCCTGAGAAGCTGTGGCTGTCCCATCCCTGGAAGTGTCCAAGGCCAGGTTGGACGGGGTCTGGAGCAATCTGGGCTAGTGGAAGGAGTCCCTGCCCATGGCAAGGGGTGGGATGAGATGGGCTTTAAGGTCTGTGCCCAGATCAGTGCTGTGCCCCACTCCATGCCCTGCCAAGCACAAGGCACACCCAGCTATGCCCTGCTCCGTGCCCTGCATTGCACAGAGCTGTACCTTGGCTGCACCCTGCTCCCTGCCCTGCTCCCTGCCCTGCTCCGTGCCCTGTTCCATGCCCTGCTCCATGTCCTGCTCCATGCCCTGTTCCATGCCCTGCCCTATACTCCACTTCATGCCCCATTCCATGCCCCACTCCATGTCCCGCTTCACGCCTTCCTGTTCCATACCCTAATCCATGCCCCACTCCATAACCTCATTCCCTGTCCCATTCCATGTCACATTCCTTGCCCTATTCCATGCTCTATTCTGTGCCTCATTCCCTACCCCAGTCCCTGTCCCGTTCCATGCCCCAGTCCCTGTCCCATTCCATACCCCATTCCATGCCCCATTGCATACTCCACTACATGCCCCACTCCATGCCTCATTCCACGTCCCATTCCCTTCCCCTCTCCATTCCCCATTCCCTGCCCCATTCCCTGTCCCGTTCCCATTCCCTCTCCATTCCCCGTTCCCTGCCCCATTCCCTGCCCCTCTCCATTCCCCATTCCCTGCCCCATTCCCTGTCCCGTTCCCATTCCCTCTCCATTCCCTGTTCCCTTCCCCTCTCCATTCCCCATTCCCTGTCCCGTTCCCTCCCCTCTCCATTCCCCGTTCCCATCCTCTCTCCATTCCCCGCTCCATTCCCCATTCCCGTTCCCATTCCCTCTACATTCCCCATTCCCATTCCCTCTCCATTCCCCATTCCCATTCCCTCTCCATTCCCCGTTCCCTTCCCCTCTCCATTCCCCATTCCCTGTCCCGTTCCCTTCCCCTCTCCATTCCCCATTCCCCGTTCCCTTCCCGCCCCCGTCCCCGTCCCGTGCCCTCTGTGGGCGTGGCCTCGCACTACCCGTGGGCGTGGTCTCAGGGCCCGTCCTCTCTCCCCATTGGCCCCGCTTCCCCTGGCCCCGCCCCCCGGCCCCGCCCCTCGTTCCCTCAGGCAGCCATGGCGGTCCGGCTGCTCCTGGCCCGGGCCCTGCGGCTGCTGCCGCGGTGCCGCCCGCCCTGCGCCCCCCGCGTCCACCCCCGCGCCGACCTCCGCACCGACCCCCGCGCCGACCCCCGCACCGGCCTCCGCGCCGCCCCGCCGGCCTCGCCATGGCGGCCGTGGCTGTCCTGGCTGCCGGCCGCGGGCCGCCTCCTCCTGCGCGGCCCTGCGGTCGGGCTGGCGGCCGTGGCGCGGCGGGGGCCCGGCGGGGCCTGCCTGGCGCTGGCCATGGCGCTGGGGCTGGTGGAGCCGCGCCTGGAGGAGCAGCGACGGGCCGAGGCGGCGTGCCGGCATATCCAGGTGGGGAGCGGGCGGCGGGCCCGGGGATCCCACTGGGAAGCGCCTGGGGCGGCCTCCGCGAAGGGGAGGCGGGCACTGCTGTGGAAACCTCTCAGACACCCCTAATGAAGGGGATGGGGGGGCCTTGTTTTAGGGAGACCCTCAGAAACGCTTCGTGAAGGGCACGGGGGGTTCCTACTTTGAGGAGTCCCCCCAGGCACCCCCCATGAAGGGGATGGGGGTCCTTGCTTTGGGGAGCACCTTAGACACCCCCCATAAAGGGGAGGGGTCGGTTCTGCTTCGGGAGACACCCCCTCATAAAGGGGAGGGGGGTCACTGCAGTGGGGGGCCCCCCAAAAAACAGCTCCCCATCTTCCCCCAAGGAGGTTGGAGGGTGCAGCTGTGAGCAGCCCTCAGGCACATCCCCAGAGGTGGGAACTGCTGGGAGCAGCCCCACAGGCACCTCTTCCTTCCCTGGAATAGGGTCCTGGAGAAGCCTCTTGCTTGGCAGCCTCTCGACACCCTAAAGCAGGTACTGGTGGGGTCCCCACAAAGGGAGTGGGGTCAGGGCCCTGCTGGTGGGAGTCTCGTGTCCCAGAACACTGGTGTTGACCCCCAGGTTTGTCACCTCTCCCTGAGACAGAGAGGGACCCCGCAGTGCTGGGCCAGGCTGTGCTGGCAGGGCACTGGTGACGGATGGTGCTGAACATATTTCCTGGGTAAAAATAGACCTTTGGTGCCCAGTGCCAGCTGTCACTTGCTCCACCGGCTGGCAGACACATTCCTGTCTGCCTGGAGGTTCTGCCTTTCCCTGAGGTTTCTCAGGATGCTTTCTCTCCCCTGGTCTTACCAGGTAGCTCCATTTGCTGCCCCTGAACCTGTGTCCGTTTGTCCCATGGCACATCCCCAGGGTGGCCACCACCACGTTGGGGCTGTAGAGAAGTGCACTGGTTTGTATCAATGCAGGTGACAATTGGGGCACCACCAGACCTGTGCTGAAACTCCAGAACAGCCTCCTGTGTGTTGTTTTCTCACATCTCTTGATTTCCTCCCCCATTTCCCTCCCGTCATGAATTCACTCTTCCTTGACCTAACCAATCCTTGTACTTGGCTTGGGCATTGTTTTTCCTGGTGTTGCTCTTATTTGGGTTTTCTTTAAAATGCTTTTTGCCTGATTTATTTATGGAGAGTGAGAAAAATTTAACAGTGCATCTCTTTTTAGTTTAGACAAGTTAGACTTGTCTTTACACAGTCACATAATCATGGAATGGTTTGGGTTGGAGGGACCTTAAAGCTCTTCTCATTCTACTCCCTTCCACTATCTCATTTCACACCTTCAGCTATCCCAGGTTCCTCCAAGCACCGTCCCACCTGGCCTTGAACACTTCCAAGGATGAGGCAGCCACAGCTTCTCTGGGCAAAATAAATTTATATTCCAGGTTGGCAAATGAATCCCCCTCCTCATTCCTTTTTGTCCCTCAGAAAGGGTACCTTGGGAAAAGACTATTTTAGGAGTAGATTGTTCCAGACAAAAATATATGGTCTCCAAATTATTTTCCTCCTGGATACAGTGATTTGTGCCTGGTTTTGGCTTTCAGGTTGACCAACCCAACAGGATGTGTAACACCACCTAAACACCGAGTTCTGCCTCGCTGGGAAGTCTGGAATAACTGAGCGTGTTTTTCTGTCCTTATTCCTTTCAGACGGTGTTCGTTGGGAAGAACAAGCCTCAGAGAGATCCCCTGAGCTCCTTCCGCTGGCAGGGCTTCAAGCTGGAGGAATATCTCATCGGCCAGCCCATCGGGAAGGGCTGCAGTGCCGCCGTGTACGAAGCAGCAATTCCTTTCTCTCCCGGTCCTCGGGAATGTGCGGAGAGCAGCCACCTCCCAGCCGCGCAGCCGGATCACAGCTCGGCTTCCCAGGCAGCTGAAGAGGAGCCTGTAGTGAAACACCAACCAAAAGGGGCTTTTCCCTTAGCTATCAAAATGATGTGGAATATCTCGGTAAGGAGTCAGCCCCGAGTCCCTGTGTCTGTCACTGGGGAATTCTGGCTGGAATGTTTAATACTGGAGTGTTGAAAGCGCTAATTATGGAGCGCAGGATGAGTGTGTCACAACAAAGCTGTTGATAGGTGACACTGGAGACGTGGAGTGTTAGGAAGGAGTCCCAGAGCGAGGTAATTAGCATTCATCATCCTCTGGAACTGGCACTGAGAGCTCCTGCTGCTGGAGTTGTTGGGTGTGGATGGGATGTTTTGGGAAGAAAAGGTTTTCTGAAGCTGGCTCTGATGGAAAGGTCTAAGAATGGGAAAACCTATGATTTAGGAAGTAACAGTCCTGCTGGGTCCTCTTGCCATGAGGTGACTGGCCAAGATCTGCTCCAGAGTTTCCCACTCCATGTGATTGATGATCCAACCCCTCAATGTGGCTATTGCACATTAAAAAAAAAAAATCCACAGGGCTTTCCCTATTGAAGAGGTTGAGTGGCACCTGATGTGACAAGTGGATGTTCCAGGAGAGTCTTCCAAAATACCAACATCTGGAATCCACTGGGCTCCAGAAGTACCCTGGCATTTAGCTGTGGGCTTTTCCACTTGGGTTTGGGAGCTGAAAGTAAAGGCAGGTAAAGGTAAAGGCCTTGCCACATCCCTTGGTGAAATCTTTAGGTAGTTAATTGCCCTCCATGATTTTCAAGGGAGGGGAGTCCGTTGAATTTTGTCTCAGTGGATCCAGCTCCAAACACAGTGCCAGCACCAGGATTGTCTGCTTTCAGCCTGCAGTGGATGATTCTGGAGCTTAAACTGACGTGGGGTGTGGTTGTTGTTGCAGGCTGGTTCCTCAAGTGAAGCCATCCTCGATGCCATGGGCCGAGAGCTCGTTCCAGCCACTGGAGTTGCTTTATCCGGGGAATACGGAGCTGTGTCCGGCCGCAGGTATGGGCACTGTGGAAACGGGGATGGTTCCCAAATGGTGATGGGTGAATTCTATCCATGGGTTCATTTTGCAGCTTTCTAGAACAGTTCCTGAAAGGAGATAAACCCAGGGATTATTATTTGGTGTGCAGGGAATACCCACAGCTAACCCTTGTAGTCCAGAGGGTGTTGGAAGGGCATGCCAATACTTTGGGAGGATTTAGGGGTCCTGCCAAGGGTCTGATGGGTGGCTGTGGCCAGGCACTTCCTGCCCAATGCCTTAGTTTCCCTGTGTGTGAAATGTGTTAGTAGCTGCTGA